AAGATAAGACTGTTGCAGAGTTAGAAACTTTCTCTAAACAGGGTCTTCCTTGCTCCCATAGATTTCATTGTTCTGTGCTGGGAGAAAGACCTTTCACCAACACAATTTTTAATGCCTGGAAAGCAACATGTTCATTTGTTCATGTGGTAGCAAACTTCTGGCTATTCAAAGTAGCTACATTCAATCTAGAAAAGGTGTAGAAAAGAGGTATCAATGAATGAAGAACCTATCATTTAAGACTGTAGGAGGTAAGTTTGTTTAGCCTACTAAAACAAAAGCTGGAAGTGCTCTGCCATCATCAAGAGAGAAGTTAAAATAGTATTTTCACAAGAACAAGTATTAAGGTGCTACATTTTCAAAGTCTCATTATCAGGGCACTGAGAGCAAGAAAGAAAATTACTTTCAGACTCTGGTTTGTTCCAAGAAAGATTTTCTGTTTCTGAGTAGCTCTTGCTGCAGGTAAGAGAACTGAAAATGATTGTAAGGGCCCATGACTTCCAATATCCAACACTGGTTTGTTGACATTCTTGTTCTTACCATTATATTGCATATTCCAGACTGCCAACACCTTCAAATGACTGACAGTCCAGAGGGTGTAAAATAATAAGGGCTTTAATACAAGAGTAGGGTGGGAAAGAAACAAGAGAAACCTGGTGAGTTCAGAACTCTATAAACTGAACTCTTGCAACTCCAGTAGACATTCTAAGTTAAAGCAAAAAGGTTAAAATTAGAATAATGATATATTTCTAGTGAAGGTCAAGCATCGTTTGTGGGTCTCGGTAATTTGTAGCAAGTCAATTCAGCTGTACTTCTGCATACCTTGCCAGCGCTGCATTATCACAGAATCAGAACAGTGCAGAGGAAAATCCAAATTAATTCTAAGATTGCAGCCTCTTTAAGCCAGCAGAGGTCATAAAATCCTAAAGCAGGTGTGAGGACTTTCTCAACTTGTCTTCTGTTGCTTACCAAGTAGGTTCTTTTACGAATGTACTGCTGACACTGCTGGAAACATAGTAAGGCATCACTTTCAGAAACTGCAGACATGGAATCCTTGCTAAAACATTATCTGAAATTGCAGGCTGCTGTATGCTGGAGTGGATCAGCCGCTCCTGTTCACGAGATCATCAGCAATGGGTATAACAAGTGTCTAGAACCAAATCAGTAATTAATACACAACCGCACAGTGTGCTTTATGAAACAAACAGACTTTACATAATGTCCCAAGATACATTGCTATTAGATAACAGGGTGAGGAAGAGAGAGATTAGGTTGCATCAGCAATGGAAAAAATATCTTTCAGAGTTTATATGTGCAAGGGGTAGAGGAGCAATGACACAAGTGAAGCATGAAGCAAGGAAATGGGGCGAACAGGAAGGCTGCACTGGGTGGCAGACACACCTTGAAAAATATTTATCTACTAATGGTAGTGAGACGCTAAAGCCAAGGGAAACAAGAGGTGAATATAACAGTAAAAGAAGGGGATGGCTTATGATGTATCCATAATATAGTTTTCACATAAACTGGAAGCTCACTCCTATTCTGAGAAAAATTTCATGGAGCACTAGCCGAAATGGTATATCCGTTTGTGGTTACACAACAGGAAAGGAACAACTGAAAGGAAAAATGTGGCAGCGACTGATGATCAGAAACCCCATTTCAGCTCTGGAAGGAACAGCACTGACACTGTGGAGCCAGGATGGGATGCATCTCACCAGGGTTAACTCATGCAAAGACTGAAGCATTGTCAAGTATCCCATGGAGGAGCACAGCTGTGGAGCGAAGCCAGTGGACTGAAGCTGTGGACTGAAGCCCCAATACTTCCTCAATCCAGGCTGTCAGGAGACAGCTCTGATTATGTCCTGCACAGAGCAGTCTCAGCATCAGATAGGAATTCAAGTGTCCCTCGGTGTTCAAATCTTGCAGCTCGGAGGGAAAGTCTGCTATGGAAGGCCAAGAGGAGGATATGCAATTGATTTTTAAAAATTCATTTGAATTATTTTTCAGCTTTAAAATAGTCAGTCTGGCACAAAATAGATGGTACCACCCTGAAAAACGAATTCTAAATAATTGAACTGCAAATCCGTCAGAGCAGGTCTCAACAGCTCACACTATAATTGCAATTATTAAACGCACATGTTCTACTCCAGTGCAAGTCGTGGTATGAAAGTATGAGCATTCACTTGAATCTTAGAAACATATGCAGCCAGAATCTCTTCAAAGCCACACAGTTCAGCCAACCCCAGATATGATACACATTTGCCACCATGCGACCAACAGCAGGGGTTGCTGAGGACATGCAGCTTCCATCACTGTCCTGGAATTCAGCTCCACGTGTTTGGCCTCTCCAGTAATTACACTCACTATCCATCCATCTTTGCATCAAAACCTACTTGTTACTATCATGTTGTGAGCAAGTGATAGCACTCTCAAATCATATCTTCACAGTATAGAACAAGTTTCTATCTCTTACCTTAGGATTTTTTGGCTGACTCCACTGGAATTATCCTCTTAAAATGCTATAACTAACAGTTATTTTCATCACAGAACTGCAAGACTTACAATCACATTTAGACCCCTTGCATCTACTTCAGCCATGAATACATGCATCCAAGATACCTCTAGGAAAGCTGTTCAAGACTGCTTAAGGCAATGTTTGCATTCACTGAAAGGGATTATGATACGGCCTCCAAATTTATCAGACACTGAAAAAGGACCCTTGTCTGAGGTGGAGAGGTTGGCAGCTGTCAGAGTGTAATTCTGGATCTGGCAAACACTCGCCCTGCAATTTAGGTCAACCTGAACAGAAGGCAAAGGTTTGAAAGCAAGTTGATGTTTGTCAGTGTATTAACAACACCTCATAGGTATGGGCTTTAGTTTCTTCAGCCATTTTGTCTGTGTAGCTATGGAGAAATAAAAGTTAAAAGATGCTGATTTCTAGCTAACTCCTTACCTGCAGCCATACATGCTGAATGGTGGCTTACGAGCATGAGGGTGAAATTTTCAGACTCTGGTTGTCTAGCCACATTACTTTTAAACTATTTTTTAAATAGCCACAGAACTATATTTTTTATTTAAACATCTTGTCAAAGTTACTCTTTTCAGAACAATAGCCAAATCTAGCTCGAGCATGGAGTATTATAAAATAAAATGATGTATCAAGAAGCTCCGTGATCTGAACTAAAGGAATCTTTCTAGTGTTCAATCAAGAGTTCAATTCTAGTTCCTTGTGATCAGAAGATATGCAAGGTATGGCTGTTACTGACATGCCAGAATACGCCTAGTCTCATTTTCCTCATCCTCTATTGGAAAATGGTACCATGGTGGGTTTTTTCAAGAAAAGCAGATAAGGTGCAAGTTCTGTCTTATGACTGAAGGCTATTAGTAAGTATGCAGATTGCAAGAAGACTGACCATCTGGCATCTGAGACTAAAGAAACTGATGAAGCAGGAAAGTTAAAACAGAGTAATTACCTTCCCTAAGCTTTCAGATAACTCAACGAACAGAAGAGGCTGCTCTGTCTGAAGCATAAAAACTGAGGCACAGAATTCTACAATGCGCCTTGAAGCTAATGATTCATGGTTTTGTCTACTATGTTTTCCCTGGTTTCCAGTGACACACTCTTGAAAATAACAGTGACAGACTCATTCTCCAGTTAAAGCCTCCAACCAAGTCAACTGAATTTCCACTTGAAATCCTTAACACCACTGGGCCAGAATGTTGAAAATATGTTATCACAAACCAACATCTTGCTCAATGTGTCCTGCAGTTTTGCATACACAAATACCAAGGACATTCCAAAGCTGCGCAAAATCCACAAAAACAAAACTTGTTCCTCTCAAGGTGAGCACTTAAACCCATATGTGCTAATTTTTGCCAGAAAATAAAACCTGATATGAGGACTCAATTAAATAAAATCAAGGACAACATTAGCTACATGCACTTTTTATACACAAGCCAAGTTATAGAAATTGACCTTTATTTAGGAATCAGTTTCTTTGACTTTTTTTTTTTTGATACAAAGTGACATTTTCATTTTAGTACAGAAAATCCATGTCAGAACAGTACCTGTTTCAGTTGTACCACTGGAGTCCTCTCTGACCTAAAACTTAAAAAAAAAAAAAAAAAAAGATAAACAAAAAACAACTGCTGTCCCTCACCATGAAAAGTACTTTGACTATTAATTCATCCATACCATTTCCTGGTTTTTAGTTTATATATACAGTATTAAAATAGTATGGTAAAATACTATGTAAAATACTATATATATATATCTATTATAGTTCAAAATACTCTCTTATATATAGTATATAACTGTATAAATACTATATAAGGTACTTAGAATATTTTGAACTATAAAACAGCATCTGTAAAACAGAATTTAAATTTAGAGCCAGATCTTTCTTGGAAGAACTGTGCACGAAGAATCCCTTTTTTAAATTAAAAAAGCTGCAAACAAAAGTAAAACTACAGCCTGTAGTGTAAAACTAGTACCCCTACACAATGAAATGATAGGAACAGGAACCGAGAAGCAGTTCTACTTAAATGATATTTTAAAAACAATTAAAATACAGTACCTAAGAAACATGGCACAAGAGACAGAAGAGACAGGTACAAAACTTGTGTTAGGAACACGGAGTCAGAAGTGCAAAAAAAACCAAAAAGGGAACTGATACAATGGAGTTTGGTACAATAGGTGAATAAGTACTGCAACCAAAACTTAAAAAAAATCACTTGTTTTTTGACAATGAAAACACTAACAATTTAGTACCTTTCTAAAGGCTTTTAATCAAAGCCCTAAAACGGTGGCTGCTCTTAAATAAAAACAATCTATGTGAATGCTACACACTGAAGTACAAAGCTTAAGAATTACCCTGCAAAATTGCACTGACAGAAGCTTTCCATATTTACAGTACCTAAAAGTGACAGAACACAGCATGCTAGGCCTAGTTCATGACTTTTCCCCACCAGTACTTAATCCAGGCCCAACAACCAAAAATTACTATTTCTCAACACACATTAAGCTTGGATTGTTCAGATATATTATGATGTTTAAATATAAGATTCATGCATAAACAAGAAACGATATCTTTGACAGACAAGCATTGACAGGATAAGAACAGTGGTCTGCCCTGTAGAGGAGTGTATTTCCTTCTGAGCTTACTCCCAAGACGTACCGATTCACTCCCACATTATTATCTGGTTGTTAAGTCAACAACGTACTTAGAAATGGTCAAAATTGCAGCTAAGAGTCACATTGTACATAAACCATTCGCTCATATTAATCAATTTCACTCCGTTTTGGAGAGTTACCTCATTAAGTGAAAGGACACATAGTTAAAAAAAAAAAAAACAAACACAAAAACAAAGACATTCAAGTAAACAGCAACAACCAAATACTTTGAAAAGGTTTTTGTAAACTTGTCATTCTACTGGGTTTTGCAGCATTGTTAAATTCTTTACTCATGGACAAGTACACGCAGGTCACAAGCCATCGTGACAGCCTGTCACGTGTACATGTACGACGTAAGAAACAAGCTCGATGAAGTGATCTACCCCTTCCCACACGCCTTGTCAGGTCCTTGTGTGTTCAGTGTTATCATTCCCCTTCATGAAACAGAAATCGCTTACGAATATCTTTATAAAGACAGAAATGGACAAAGTCCACTGGATAGAAAGTTAGTTGGTTATTTACATCTGCAGAGTACTTTCACAGCGAACTAAATCTACAGCGGGCCGGCTGGGATCCACAGGACTTTGTTTTGTTCTTGATCGACAGTTGTCATAATCTGAGTGCAAATGCTTGAAAGGGCTCCTCCCTGGACAATGCCTGGAGAAAAAGAAAGCCCCCAACACAAATGAGACTGGAACGAAGAGTTATGACTAATTACAAAGCGAGTCTTCTGCATTCTTCTGCAAAGTGTTTATCAACAGATCAGAATTAATCTACCCAATTCAGTATTTGCCAGATGCATGACTATTAAAACAAGAAAAAGAATAAACAGAGCATAGAGGTCAAGCATTAAATATACAGTTTCTTCTGCTAGCTCTTAAAACAGCCCAGGGAAGTCGTAGTACTGATGGTTATAATCAACTAAGACAACTGTTTTGTTAGAGGCCTCCACGTACTATTTTCAGAGGCATCAGGTGGCAAAGTTTAAGTCTAAAGATGGTCAGAATCTGCTATAATAAACCTTCTCTGTTCAGCACGTGGTGTTGAGTTTTGTGTTTATGTGGTAATATACATAGAGACTATAGCTGTAGCAACTAGATACTATTTACAAATATTAGGAGCAAATTATGAAGCAGTTCAGACCATTGAGCTAAATAAAACAGAAGTGATTGCTACTCCAATTCTTATTCTCAACTACATTTTAAGGGAACAAAAGGCCAAAACCAAGCAACTCCCTGAAAATCAATTCAAAAGATAAATGAACACCTTGCATTCTACCCTTCCTAAACATACGTCATAAAAAGTAAAATGCCAGCGCTGACACTGCAGAGGAAAATATATTAGCTTTAAGACTTAAACATGACTTCAGAAGTACATCAGCAAAGCCTCAGCCACTACTAACTCTGGGAAAATACGGAAAGTCTTATAAAGCTTAAGGTATAATTTCCATTTTGGAAAAAACAGAATTTGATCTCACATAAAAATATTACTCGACTCTGCAGTATGGACTCTACAATTAGTGTCAGATGAGTTTGGATACAGAACACAGTAGCCAACAAGGTCTAGGAAAGGTGACGAATGGCAGTGAAGAAGTGATTCACATTATACACCGTGCACAAGTGGTACAGGAAACAAGCCAGCTTGAAAGAAACATTAGTCAAAACATGTACTTCATGACGCAGTCACAGATCTGAGTCTGACAGAGTGTGTCATACAGCTTCACGAGGAAGCTACCCTGTCCAACATGCCCATCTACAGGTTTATTTTATGCACGTGATCATTTCAACAAGCTTTAATGTCAATGCAGTTTGAACACCAATCCTCTCTGACTACCAGCATCTGGAAATGTTGAGGACAGCTGCAGCCCACTGTACTGGGCACTAAGAGAGGGAGGCCCTTCCCACAGGGCAGGCGAGAAGATGCACATAGGGCTGTCTCGCACTGAGTGATCCTTTCGCTATCATGGTGAAATTAAAATGCAACATACAACTTAAGAAGCAGAAAGCAACACGTGGCAGTGCAGCCTGGCCATGAGCACGTCAAGTTCTGTGAAGGCTTAGTATGCACCATTTAAAGGAATATTTGTATGACTATTATATACCAGCTATCTGATTTTGTTGACAACATGCAGCTTCTCTCAGGATGAGCTGAGATAGCTCCATACTAAATACATCCCCTTCCACCCCTGGACTTGTAGGTATGCCTCAAAGCATTTCAGTAAGAATCCCATTGCTTGGGGGATGAAAAGTTGGGGTATAATTCCAAATTACAGTTATGCTCAAGAAACCTTTGGCAATTTTTTTTCCTTTCTTGAAAGATTTGAAGTATACCTCACAAATCATTCATCAATTTACACTACGGGGTGGGGGGTGGGGGGGTGGCAAGGCGTTTGTTGTTTTGTTTGGTTTTGTTTGATTTTAACAATTACAAAACAATATATTTTGCTTACATGGTATAAAACTGACAACGCTGTGTCAAATTATCTTGACCATACTTCCAATACTACTGGCTTCTAATAAAACATTTTCAGAATCTCTTCTGGTTTTAAGATTCATAATATGCTAAACCAAACACATGTAAAAGCAATGGATAGTACTTATATTGAGATGTCCTCTCCTAGTAAAATTAAAACATCAGAGTGGCACAATGAGGTGGGGAGGAGGGGGTGGGGGGATGGAAAGGGGAGAGGGAAAAAATTCTTTGAAGGAACATAAAATCTTTTGCATGTTGAATTACAGTGTAAATGGATTACACTGCCACTGTGGTCCCAGTGAAATGTTGATTAAATACTAACCTGTAAAGTACTTGCTATACTCTTGTTCTATTTTTTGAGCTGTCTCAAACTGTTCTTTGGAATGTTTTTGTGTAACTTTGTCCCTCAGGAAGATTGGGTCTTTTTGCTCTCTGCAAAAAAAAGAAAGGAAAAAAAAGAAAAACCTGGTATAAGAATGTTTTTTTAATGGACTTGAAATGATGATATCCAGTTGGGTGAATGTGAACGGCTAATTAATTTCCAAGCATAATGCTGTGCATAGAGTGCCATCTACTGTGTTTCAGCAGTATCAGCACAGCCACCAGGATTATTCCAGTACTAACAAACCTCAGAGATTGGGAGGAGTTTCACAGAGAAAGAATATAATGTTTTCCAGTTCATGTGAATTAGATCATCATCTCATACACTCCAGTACTCCCTACACAAAGTTGGGCTCAAGTACTGCTCTCTTAAGACCTTGAAGTATCAAGCACTCAACAAATAGAATATTTCTAGGTCATCTTAGATGATATATTATTTATAGGTCATCTTAACACATTTTTGAGGTGACTGCTTTTATATTATACATGCTGTTAGAAATAAAATAAGAAAAAAATATAAAGAAATACAAATAGTAAAAAAAAATATTTAATTCTAATGAAGGCTGGTAACCCTCTTCCAAATCTGACCTGGGATTCTGTTTAAAAGGAAGCAGGCTTTATAATCTACTAATAAGTTCATATAGATAGGTACTGAGACAATATAAGCATAGTTTCTTATAGCAGTGCGAAAAGAAGCACAATTTTATTTTATAAGTTTAAAAAAAAAAAAATCATTACTGAACAAACCTATTACTGCTGTACAGGACCTCAGAGAGTGCCAACAGAACCTGTGCTATAGCAAAAAGGCTGTTTGGGAAAACCTTTTGTGCTCCTAAATGGCAGAGACAATGTGCCACTGCATCTTATTTTGCTAAGTGCTTGCTTGTCTAGTTCAATCACTTTCTGTCACTTTGCAAAACCAAGAAATAGCTGTAATGGTCACCACTCCATTTCCAAAGGGGCTCAAGACATGACAGTTCCAGTTATCATTCAAGTGCATGATCCTGCAGTGGTAATGAAATACACATTGCTTTATGTCTTGCTTCTACTTGAAAGTGGTGATACTTATCTTCTTTATTTAATAGATAGTCATCAAATTTACCTACAGATCAAGCAGATAAGAAGTCTTCAGCTTTCAAAATTAAGATATCGCAAATACAAAATCTCTCAACAAAACTGTTTCTTAATACCTCTGTTGGGAGATTATGTCACTTCTTGCCAAAGCAATCTATCAGAGGGTGTGAAGGCTTACTCAAGCATTAGGGAAAGGACTAGGGTTTTTAACTTCTGTGTTCTGTTCCTGGCTGTATTCAAACAGGAAATTCCCAGTTACTGAAAGAGCATGTCCTGAGAACACCAGAGTATATACACTGCATGGTAAAAGAGGACTTCCCTTGCTATTTTCACTGGAGAATGAAGGTGGGAAAAGTGAGGTTACAAATCAATTGGCACTTCATCCACCCACTTGGCCCTGCTGAGAAGATGAAGAATACCTCTTGGTCAGAGTCACCACTTAATCCTCAATGGATCTCACCCATATCTTTCTTACAGTTTAATACAAAGGTGAGCAGGAAAGATCTGAGTGCCTCCAGGAGTACATACAGTTCAGTCTACATCGTTTGATTTCTTTGAAAGATTTAAATGTCATGCAACTAAATGAACTTAAGACCATTTACCTCACAGCAGGTTTTATGAGGATTATTTTCCACATTTTAAAGAGATTTAAGATGACTAAGATGAAAGAAACAGTAAAGGTAACAAGCTTATTTTAAGCCAAAATGAACATCCCTGAACTATACCCCTCACAGACTTACTTGATTTGTTTAGCATTTTTGTAGCGAATAAAAATTACAATAGGGTAGATATGAACACTGTGGAGCCGTTCGATGGCATGAGGAGCGATGTCAAGCAGACAATGACAATCCTAAGATCAAATGTAAATGCAAAACACTCATTCAGTTAAAGAGCACAAGCACACATGCAAATTCCCCACATTTCTTCCCTTACTTAAGTCATAGCAACCCAACAGAATTCTGCTATACATCTACACATTGCATTTTGGAGCTACTGAGCAATTTGTACCCAAAGGATTTATAACAAAAGACAGAAAATTAGAAACTGCAAGAAATTCCATACAGAGTACCAAAAGCATGCATTGATACAACAAAAAGTATTTGAAGAACTAATGAAATGAAAATTCAGTTTGAAATATCAGCAGTATTTTTTTTTCCAAATTTAAATATTCATTTTCTCTTTCAGAAGTCATAAGCAAACACAAGCATTAAAGCATTTAGACCTTGTGTGGTTTGACAGAAAACTAAGCGATGTACAGATTTTAATTAACATCTGTCTCCAGGATTATTATGATGATATGTTCTACATGACTGTATTAAATGGAATAGTTAAATAAACTAAATCACTGTTTGGGGTAGGGGCTGAGATCTATGGAATCTTAGAAAATTATTTCTAACTTTAATAATACTGTAGAAGAATATGGACATTCCTAGCTTTTACCAAAGGTGAGCTGCATAAAATTATCTTTAAACAATGACTTGCCAAAGTGAGGCAACGTTGATTTTACTCAGCGGCCTGGGGAACAATTCTCTTGAATGCCTTAAAGAGGGACAACTCTAACATCATTTCCAGACCCACAACATAGTATGACCAAATACTGCAAATTGTACAAAGAACTACAACATAAAAACGGACTCACCTTTTCTGTTATCTCTTTTATTGAAGCTACCGTTGTCACATCAAAATGTCCACTCCTCCGTTTATAATCAATAAACAGACAATCCTTCACACCCCGTTCAATGGCTTGTTGGGAAGCTTTCATAACCTCTGTTTCATAGAACGAGAAGAGACTCACTTTCACTACTATTCTTTAGACAAGGCTAACCAAACAATGTCTGCAAATTTAGATTTTTTGGGGTTTTTCCATGTTTATCCAACCATTTAGTTCACATAGATAGATGTTACTATCATATATTCTAAGCAAGAATAAATTAGTTATATTTGCATACTTACCAAGAGGACATCTGCAAAATTTTCCAGGGGATTCTTTGACCAACATGTCTTTCACAGCATCAAGTAAAGGTCCTAGAATAAGCACAGGCCTAGGAGAGGTACAGTCCACTTTCTGTACCCGCTGATATGCCAGACTTGCAGAATCTGTACACACGGAAGATTTTACTTATAAAAGCATAAATTATTTTCCCAGCATTCCTCAGATAGGCAGAAGAACCTTAGCAGTAATTATGAAAACAAACCCTTAGCAAGGGATAAGGGCCTTGACAAGTACAAAAATTGCTCCTTAGACATATTTTCAATTTTCTCCACTTGACAGCTCAAAACAGATAATTTTCTAATTGAAGCTGGTGCTTCTCCCCTTCACCCTCACCCAAACGTTAAAATCAATCTTTCCTATTTTTTCCTAAAAGTGTAAACAAGACATGATATTTGGGTTTTCTGGTTTGGTTTGCTGTGCTCTTCCAGGGAAGTAAGCATTGTAACCAATATGATTTTTGTGAACATGACTCAGTGAAAAAATAGAAGTGAAGATTTTTGAGTGGTGCCCAGGATTGCTGTCTAGACTAAGCTATCTGGACAGAAATTAAATAGTTGAAAGGAAGATCAAAACCATGCATCAAAAAGCAATCTCCCTCTGCAAATGAAACACTAATGCTAATAGATGTCGGAATAAACTACCAAAAAAAATCATTTTGAAACGCTCTGGCTTATTATTTAATACAACAAAAATTTTTTATTACTAGTAATGTAAGGAACATATGATCATCAATTGTATTAATCATACGGGACATATGATCATCAACTGTATTCAGAACAACCCGAAAGCCACATTATTCATTGTGTCATGCTGCAACAGCTTAAAAATGAAAGAAAAGGAAAGGCAACCTCTTCCCAAGTATAACAAAGGTACTTGCCATCCAAGAAAGGGATTGAATCTGTACTGATTGTATCAAGAGCCAGTAAATCCTTTCCATCTTTGGAACCACTTCGCTTGTGTTTATTCTTTCTTCTGAAGAATGACCTTCGTGCTGCTGCTGACAGCGTCTTAGATGAGCTGTTTTCATCTTTAGCCTCAGACATGCTGTGTCTCCTGTAGAACTCCTGATCCATCCTATAATAAAACAGACTAAAGGTTGGTATTTAAGCTTGTCTTTTTGAATTTTTTTGACGAAAAATATCATTGCTGCTTCTGGAACATACTGGAAATGCTTGTCTCATGCTTTAGCCTGAGCATCTTCATTACAGAAAATTAATCAGAAACAAACATTAACATAAATCAAATATTAAGCATCTGAAAACCTCACACTACCACATTTCCTCAGGATTCTTGTACTATAAATAGCATAGCACAGGGGGCAACCACTCTGACAGGCAAGGCAAAATTCTCCAAGGCAGAAGGAGCAGCAGGCACCTATGTGCCAGTAAAGTCAGCCTTGCACAGAAGTGAAGATCCCATTCTTTCTATGAGGCTGCATGTTACACTCATCCTTACAAATAACGTATTAGCAATACAAAATAGGTTTTACTTTATGAAGCTTTATTTTACGTAAGCGCACATAAGATACACAGTCTTATAATAACAATGCTGTCCACAGATAACTAAAAACACTGATGCTTCTCAAGAATGACTGTGATAACCTTGGATTCCAGGATACTTTTGCTGTAGTCACTCTCACTTTTGTTACTGAATTACCTATCAAAACACTGGTCTATATATCATTGCCATTTCTAGTTTACTATTTAGTAGCATGAAAAATAACTAATAAGTGATCTATTTATTTCAGTATTATTAAAATATGCCACCCCTAAAATGACATGCCTAAAAATTAGTATCTCAGAAAGAACAGAAGCCAACAAGCGTTTTATACCACATCTCACTAGGCAGACTTTGAAAGACCATAAGATAAATACTGTAACTGAGGTCACTCACATATATTTACTTGGAATCTGTCCTCTTTCCAGCTTCTGAGCATTCTCGTCTAGTTGCCAAGCCATCCAGCAACCAAAGTTCCCCTGTGGTAGAGTGTCATCAACATATAAAATGTCATCCTTCTTAAAGCTTAAATCCTGTTCCACCTCAGCCAGACGGTCATAAAGTGCTCTGGAAAGGAAGACAGAAATAGGCACTGCAACTGAACTCCATCAAGTCAAGGGAAGAGCATGCATACTTATTCTGAAAAAAGGTAACAGATTAGCAGCACACTCTTCATTTCAAGAGCACATAAGTGTAGAGAAAAATGTGTAGAATTACTGTGCTACAGACTGGGTACTCCCTGTCCCAGAGACTAGCTGGGATAGGTCAGTAAACTTGGAATTGGCGGGGGTGGGGGGGAAGGTAACACTGCTGTACTACCTCTCTCATGACGGTCAGCATATTGTCCTAACAGCCTTATGCTGTCATTACCAGTCACACTCAAATACCTGATATAGAATCCATCTCCAGGAAGTTCTTTTATCTTATTAAACTCTTCTAATCTGTATTGAGTCCTTATTTTGATGTTTTCTCCAGGCTTCAACATTTCCAGATAAGCTTCCTCAGCTGTTTTATTTCTCATATCAATGGATCCATACTGCAAAACACAGAACACAGAAACCCTAAGAGGTGAAATTGTAACTTAACAGACAAGAGAATTAGGTGAGCTTGAGAAACATGCAAAACAAGTTTGTTTCCTCCCCCCCCCC